AAATGCATGACATGCCTTTTGACTTCTAAACCTCAATTAACCAATACTAGAATAATAACCATTCAAACTGAGACAATGAATTCTATGACCTGAACTATGCAATAAAAGCAAGAATTCATCTAATATGTGCTGTAAACCTTGTGAATGGATGACCTCATTGGGATGTGTTCACATTTCATCTTGGGAAAATTTTGTATTGCATTAAACATCATATCTTTAAAACTCCCTACAAACTCCTGGCATTCCATCTCTGTTTAGTGGCATGCACAAGACTCTTGTAATTGAGTACAGACCAAATGTTTTTTAGTCTCCCACAGGTGAGATCTCAGAAAGCCACACAGTCTAGCAAAAGCACTCCAAGCTATTATTATAAGGCAAATCAATTTTTAACTATAGTATTGAAATATAATATGGGTAATTTCATTTCAACTTGATAAAAATATCAGAAACAACAAACTGTTTGATAGCATAAACGAAGAGGGAGGAACAAACTACATTTGTACAAAAGAAAAACAGGTTTGGAGTATTTGGAAAACTGACTTCCTGAAAATAAATCTGAAACAGAATTTCAAATGAAGGAAACAAAGATACATCATATTGCTGACAGCACATCCATTATTTCCATGTTTTTAAAAAGTTTAAAGCTTGTTATGCGTCTCAATAGTAACAGATTCAACAGCAGGAAAATGTATTACTGAAAAAAAAAAAGCATAAGGCCATTTTTGCAAAAGGGAAATACTGTCTGTGCATGGTAATTTTGCAGTGGATTCCTATTCAGAGGTGGAAAAGCGTGACCATTTACTTAAAGCAGTAAGGTAAGAAAGACATTCAGTTGGAAAGATAACATATTAAAGCCATGACATGCTAATCAGGATATTGAAATGCCTCACACTTTTGATTTTTAGTGTAAATGAATTAAACAGGACTGTTTCCCAGTAACTAGATACTGATATATCAACTGTCTAAATTCATCTTGTCTCCAAATCTTTGGCACATTTAGTAATGAAATTACTTTTCATTTATTCGTTAATAGGAAAAGCATTACTGTGACACTGAGCTATGATTTTAAGCATGCTAGATTTTTATTTATTTTTTCTTTTTGTACATATTATGAGCGGCAATTATCCATTGCACTTCAGTAGCCTTTCATTTTGAAAAGAAAAAAAAATAAAGATGAGTATCAGGAGACATTCAGAACTTCAGGACTTTGCAACCAACTCTAATCTTCTATGCAAAGTTTTTAATTGCCTTAATCACCACTACACTATTACATTGTGCAATAGAAACAGTACAGCCGTTAAACAGAAGGAAGAGATAAAAGGAGATGTTTTCACCTCTTCTAAATAAGGAGAAAACCAACACAATGAATCAAATAAGAAATGAGCCGTGGTGGTGTTCTGAGCTATTTACCAACAACTGAGGTGAGGGCTCTTCACCATTCATCTTCAGTGTTCAGACTGTGTTATAAGATGACAGAAAGCTACTAAGGAAAGCTAAAACTTTTGTTGTAAGATGGCCACCAGCTTTAAACTGCTAATTAGAAGTGCAACTTTTAATTCCAAACAATAACTTGATTCTGGCACAACCTTGCACTTTAGACATTCTTAGTAAAAAATTTTCAAACAACTTTATAAATTAAGATACTAGTTGTCTGAAAAAAGCAAATGAATGAATAGTCTTAAACACATTTGCAAGATGGAAAAAAAAATAAATGAAAAGGTTAGATACTACTAAAGATTATCTTTAGAGTAACAATTAGGGAGTTTCTCACCACTGCTGCTTCCCACCACCACCCAGGCCCAGCATTCCTGTATCAGCTTAAAACTGCTGAAGACTTGTTTCAAGCCTCTGTAGACCACAGAGTACATACCACGTGTGAGACTGGCAGACCACTGCTTGGAAAGATTAAATTGTGCTTCAGGATACTGACATAAGCAGTACTGAAAAACTTATCTTTTTGAATTCTTTGAGTAATTTTGGGGGGTCTAATGCACAGCCTTTAATTACTGATAGTATAGATCAGCAGGGATAGCTGGATGTGGATGATCGGTCCTTAGATGCTCTTGGGAAAAATTGAGAAAGTTCAAGAAAGGCCACATTGGTCTTTACATTTGTTTTACTACATCTGCAGAGCCTACAAGGCCCATAAAGAAGGTGCTTGGGGACTACATTAAGATCTGCTGCAGCCTAATGACATCAGTGAGATGATGTCTGAGAACAAAGACATGGCAGAGAACAGGAGCCAAAAAACCTCATCTCTCTGTGAAAGACACCAGGACACAAGGCATACGAAACCTTAACTTGTGAGCTAACATCATCTAGAGGCAGATACAGGTTTGCATAAGCAATTAAATAAATGCTAATGAAGATGGCATTTGTGTCCTACTCAGGATGTCCAGCAACATGTAGAGGGGAATCACAAATGTGTTGAGATGGGAATTGACCTCTGGAGGTTGCTCTGCTGCTCACAGAAGGGTTAATCTGGAGCTGGCTGCTATGCAGATTCTGGATGTCACCCTGTGGAGGGGGCTGGGACCACATGGGCAAGCTGCAGTGCTTGACCATCCTCACTGAAATACATACCAAAACACCTGTGTTGCATGTCCATGCTCCCAAGGATTCAGAACTAATTTCAAAGTTAGGTATACTTGAGAACCTATGACTCAAAGTTTCCCATTAATTGGTCTTGAAAGGTTTTTTTGTTTCTTTTTTTTTTTTTTTTTTTTTTTTTTTTTAAATGTTGGTGTAACACTTAATGTCTTCTGTGCATATATGTAAAGCATAGCAGATATTAAGACTCTGAGAACTTCTGGCATCTAAATTCAAGCATACCTGGAAGCTTCTCAGGATAGCAAGGAGGCATGGCTCCAGGCTCAGAGGTGAATACAAAAGTCTCTTATCTTACTCCTTCACAGTCTTTGACTGAGCAGAGGAAGCTGCAGAGGATCTGCAGAGGATCTATGTTTCAGATGAATTTTGTCAAGAGAGAAAATAAATAGTTCTATTTTAAAGAATTTTCACACTCCACTAAATATGCCTTCGATCATATTCACTATTAAACACGTTACAGACTACAAAGAAAGGAGAACTCACTGTTCAATGATGTCATGCTACGATGCTGCAGATCAGAATACAAGCACTAGAAAGTACTAGTAAGCTGTAACATCACAGTAGAATCAATAGGACCTGACAAACTTTGAGTGGGTGTGCAAAACTGGTCAGAAAGCTTAACTGATGCCTTCATATTTTTCTGTTTTATGATTTTTCCTTTTGCACTGAACAACCACAACAGAGTCACAAAAGCTTTTAAATAATCTCTATTTTTTTCATCATTGTATGAAATTCTGGTAGGTTTTCAAATTTCTCTTCACAAGTAAGAGCAAGCATTTCTCTGAAATCCCACGAAACAAAGTACACAAGCCTGGGGATTACTGAAGCATCAAGAAATGTGTTACTCATATATTTGTATCAGTTCTTGTTCTTACTCTGTGCCTATTACATAGAAATATAATTGCAGCTTAATAGACTTTTTAGGAATAGTGCAATTTGTACAATATATAATTTTTAATGTAGACTGATGTTATTTTCTAAAAAAGTAAATTGAACATTTTATAGAGTAAAGACTGTAAGCAAGTGGAAACATAATTCAAAGCTAGAGAAGAGTTATGCTACTGAGTGGAAAATGAAAAGTACTAATTTGCATTTCTGTAATCATTAATAGGGGTTATGAGGTGTCAATTATGTTCCATGTGTGACCTTTTTGGTTTCTAGGTAATGTACCTCAATTAATTGTCTGTGGCATCATAAAGCACCTTTTCCACTGTACCATGACTATGAAAAGCAATAAAATTCCTCCTTTGCAGCTGAAGTATGAAATGCACAACTGACCTTAGCACTTAGCAGTAGCTCACTGATGCTAATGCAGACCTTCTACTGGCATAAATTACAATGCAGTCAAAATTTGAGTGCTTGGTTAATGCATTCCTAGTTCATGGTAGATTTTTGTAAAGTCACAGAAATGACCATGCTTTGAATTTTCTGTTTCACTCCATCAGTTGAATTGCACATCGAGAATTCTGCACTAATAAAACTGAATAAGCTGCCTCAAATTCCAGTGTAGAAGTTGATATGAAAGGGAAAACTGCAGTTCAGTTGTATTTTTCCTTTCTTAGGAACATGAATCAAGCAAAAAATCTTGATGCTGACAAACATTACAAACACAGATTGATGTATAATATTTGATGGGCATCATGCAGTATTTCCTCCCCAGGAGCACTATGCTGTAAACATGATGTGTAAATGTAATCTGTGAATTGAAGTCTATCCACAATATATTAATTCAGTAGTTTGCAAACATTTGTATGATCAAATTTTCGTATGATTTTCTCCTGTTTTTTTTAAAGGAAAAACAGAACTATCCAAAACACACCGATAACTAAAAACTTACTAAAGAAAGAAGAGTAAGATTTTCAGCTTTTAAAGTTATTCATCTGCAAAATCATATGGGTAAAAGATGACAAAAAACAAGGGAGGTAGAAAATGGAAGAAAATGGAAGAAAAGCTGAAATAACTGAGTATTGTAACAGTGCAAAAATCCTCCACGGTAGGTTTGTGTCAAAAGGCATAGTGGTTACTAAACAGTTGATCTGATCAAAGAGAGGATCTAAACTCAGTCCGGCTCCCAAAATGTTCAAAGTGTTTAGAAGTGATTTAAATTCTAAGTCATGATTTATTAGCATACACTGGTTATTAAATGTTGAAGTAATTCAGCAATCAATTATTTTTTTTTCTAATATAGTTCTAAATTGTAATTGCATTATCATTTTAAAAAGGGACATACACACACACACACACAAAAAAAAAAAGCTTTCCTCCTCCTGCTTCCAAAGCAAACAGTACAGAATCACAAATAGAAAATAGACCAGATTCAACAGAATGTATTATCCTTCTCAGACTTCTAAGGCTTCAAACAAACGTTGTATGTAAATTCATTTTCCAACTTGATAAATCCCAAGGCCTGAGAAATTCTCTAGGGCTTCAAGCAAATATCTTCTGACATTAACAAAAACTATGTGAATCAATGGTGAGATATATACTGAAATTTATGTTTATCTCAAAGATTGCTTTTCAAAGCCAACCTGTCAGTAGCAGTTTTACTTTGTTTTCATTAATTATTGACCCAACTGTCTTTACACAAAGGCAAACGTGGCAGAGAACCAATCTCAAGTTCAGAGGAACAAGACTATTCAACAATTTCATGAAGCATGTACTGACATAAATGTGAAGTTGATACTTCTGGCACTTTTAAAGAGATAAAATTGTATTAAGTGAGTCGAAGTGCAAACAACATTCTATAAAAGCTTCAAGTAGTTCCTTAAGTACTACCATGCTCAAACACATCATTAACACAGACAGTATGTATCCAAAGATAGATTCCACAAGAATACTTCGATACTTTGATAGTCAGAAATAACACTACTGATTCAAAAACAGTTAGAAGTGGAGATAATTCCAGTAGGAAAATTGCAACAATGTCTATATTTTAACTAATTAAATGTATTTAGCTGCTTTAAAAAATTTTCCTTAGCCTATCCTGTCTGTGAGAAAAATAGAAAGTACTCATTTCATATACAATTTTACTGTGCTGTGAAAAGAATGCTGACATAGGAAAGCCAGACTTTTGTCTTTCCTTCCTACAGAACAATATTAATAGCTATGCTGTTAATAGAGAATTAAATATAGGAATATGCCTTAAGAACATATTAGTAGCCATACCAGAGAGAGTTTGAAGATTTTTTTGCCTGCTAAAGCAAGATTTAGCAGACACACAAAACGTACCTGATACCATCAAAAACTATCTGGCATTTCAGTATAGCACACATATTTTGCCCTCCTACTTCACTACCACAGCACTGTGTAAGCCATATTAGCCATGAGTATTCTGTTGCTGAAGTAAATCTCTATTAAGCATAAATAAAATTAAGTCTCTTTGTTGAGCTACTTCACCAAACAGAAAAATTCCACATATCCTGTGATAAATAGTATGGGAGAAACTAAAAAATGTCAATTTTCATGGTAACAAACCAAACCAAGCCAATGTCCTTGCCATATTAGAGAAAATAACGTGGTGATTCCAGTGGGCCCAGTACAAATAAAGCTACTCCCTTTGAACAGTTCCAGCAACTTTCAGAGTAACTTTTCCTTCCACAATACCACATGTGACATTGGAGAATGTCCATTTTAAGAGGAAATCAGTACCAGTAGAGTAAATGATGTGTAAAATTGAGTAGAAAGATCTTCACTTTTTCTCCATATTTATTGTTGCCAACTGTTCTCAGAATGGCAAAGGATTGACAGAGCATTCAGTAGAAATTTCCATCCATCTGTAGCTTGTTTTCATTAAAAAGTATAATTTTATGTCAAGTGAATTTATGTTCTGTTCTGACATGCATTATACTATAAGTCTTTGATATAATAAAACGGTTTCTGATCACTGGAGTTTGAGAGAGATTCATTCATTTTGCCTACCTTATTCACAATATGCCCTTCATTTCATTCTTGAAGCTTTACTGGGGAGTAAGAGTAGTTCTGCTAGTAAGACAACCATAAATCTTGAGCTTCTGGTGATTACATTAAAAAGTTTATATTAATATTGAAAATCAAACACTTCATTACTTCTAATTACAACAGTCCTGAATGTTTCATTAGATTATAACATCTAAAGTGAAGCTGCATACAAATAAATTATGTTTTTATGGTATTGATACTTCATTGACACATATATGCATATGCATACATCTGGATGATACTTGCAGAAAGAAGAAGAAATGTACTGAACAGCACTTCTCAATTTTTCAAAAGTCTCTCTAAACACATGAAGGATTTTACATTCCAGTAAAAATGGACCTGAAGATGTAATAATTCGGGATATCTTTTTTTTTTCTTTCAAAATTTGGAAAGGACAAATTTATTTATTTATTTTTTTAACAGAGAAAAGCCACCCATTATGGAGAAAACCAAAAACTCAGAAATCATGGAAAGCTGACAGACAATACTCACAGAGATGAGAATACTGAGCCTAAGGAAATTGTAAGAAATAGATCTTAGCTTCATAGTAATCACTAGTTTTGAAAGAGAGATTTAAAAAAAAAAAAAAATTTTAGCTAAATAGTTCTAGTGAAAGTACAGTGATAAATTATGAACTGTGCCACAATAATGCTCATACCAAACAGGAAATCAAGGGGGAAAAAAAATAATAAAATTTGATGACCTAGAGAGGTCACCTAATTACTTCATTTCCCTAAAGCACATTACCTGGGCTCACTATTAGTATATTTTTAGAAGACTACAGCATTGAAGTCAATCTCCTCAGGAAAGCTTATTCCTACAGTTATTCAATGAAGTTCTCTGCAATGTCCAAGTGTTTAGTGTTAAAATTCCAAGCAAAATCAGCTATCCACATTTCTGAAGTCCCTATCAGGTTTCCCCCTTTTAATTACCAAAATTACTTCAAATTTATATTGTAGATCATACTTTTGAGGGTTTTAATCATTCCTGATTTTTTTTTGATTCTCTCCAAATTTATGATGTCTTTCTTGGAAAGGAATGATAGGTAAGGCCGTATAATCTGTGTCAGATATGCCATAACTTACCAGTTATGAAATACGAATTTCCCTTCCACAGAGGAATTACTGACTTACAAAGAAGAGGAATTACAACTTATTTTGCTTGTGAAACAAAATGATCTTTAGATCATTTTCTGGAAAAATATCATTATTTAGCCAATTGTTCCCTATCTGTCTGTCAGTGATTACAGCTTCTGCTGTAGGGCACTGCTGCAAATTTTGCATATTTAGCAAACAGGAATAACTGAACCTGGTCCAGTTCAGTCCATGCCGGTGTATTTAGGCTACTGTCTCCTCTCCAATGTTGGCAAAACAGATTTCTGGGGAAAAGCAGGACATATGTATGAGATACTGCTTTTCATATTGTTGGGGTTTTTTTTGTTTGTTTGTTTTTGTTTTTTTGGTTGTTGTTTTTTTTTTTTTTTTTTTTTTTTTTCAATTGTGAACATCACTAATGAAAAATCACAACCAGAAGCGGGAACAAGACAGACATTGCCACTGTAACACCTGCTATTTTGATGAAAACTGAACATGCTAAGCAGCCCTGAACTGGACACAGTAATCAAAGACCTTAGAAGATAGGGCAAGGACACGATTCCTTCCTGAGAAGACAGGGAGGAAAGAGCTTTTGGAGGTGGAAAGTAAGAGAGAGTGGAGCATTTCAGGTCAGGGCAGCTTAGAAGAAGGATCATAGCTCTTGCTCCAGACACCTCTTTGCTTTTCCCTGGAAGAGGTAAGCACAGCTACTTTGAACATCAGAAATCTGAGAGGAGATCTAAGTTCAAACTACAGGAAGGTGAATGAAATACACTAACATGTGAAAGCAGCCAGAGAGTCTAAGTCTGGCCTGTTAATGCATTTTATCTTCTGTAACATTGTTGCGTTATTGCAAGTCCCTATTTTGAACAAATCTACACTTTCAGTCTTAAACCCTGTCAGGCGACAACCATGAACATAATCATTCTAACAGGCAACAAAGCACTCTTTTGCTACAGGGGGCATCCTGAACGCATGGAAGAGAACTTCCTAACAGATTTCAGGTTTCTGTTTTTAAAACCCAGCTACCAGGTAGAGTGAGGCACGCCTGCAGAAGATTTTCAAAGGGTATTTGGGCAACATGTATCAAAGGGATTCAAAGAGGACTATGCAACTTCAGCAGACACCCTGTCACCTTCTGACGTGTTGTGAGGAAGCTGGGGAGCACGCTTTCACTCTGCGGATCCCAACAGAGGGACAACGCATGACAACAACTGAACAAATAACAGTTCTGCTCCAATAAGCAATCTGCTACTATGTGCTGTGAGACTCTGAGGATGTTGTGCTTTTCTTCTGTCTACAGTTTCCCCAGGAGCAAAAATTCAGTATGAAAGATAAAACAAATCTTAAAGAAATGTTTCTTTCTAGCACAGTTTTGATCACATCATTTCTGTATTTAGAAATTCATCTGCAGCTTGCCCAACTTGATTGGTAAATAAATCACTTCATGTTGGTAATAGCCAATGAAAGAAAACAAGATCAAATGGCCAGTTGGAGATAGCAAAGTACAAGTTTGTGAATTCTACTCCAAGAATTATCCTGTATTTTAATCCCACAACGTCAGATATTGATCCAAATATGAGACTCTTCTGACCTGTAACATTTTTAGTTCACATACTAAGCCCATACTATGTTCTGAGGAAGCAAAGGAAAACAGAAAAGGAGGTTTTTGCAAGCAGTTAAACTCCGCCTGTGCTGATGCCAGGCCTGTGAGAAGTGGACACTTGGTGGGTTTCTGCTTCTTTTACTTTCCCACAGCTAAATACAATAAGGCAACTCTTCCGCACAGCACATAAATAAAGGCTTCTTTTAGGTCCATATCACTTTCCTGCATGATGTCATGACTGTGTTCTCTGAGGGCTTGGGATCAACTACTGATGTTTCAAGGAAGCCGAATACATTTACCTGAGGTTCCGGTGGGATTAAGGCCAAGATGACAGCAAACGAAGGTGTTATGGAGAAAGAGTCAGCATAACTGGTCACAGGCCCACAGGCAAGACAATGTCTGAAAAGCAGTGATACGCTTTTGAAGTTACCATAGCTCTTATTGCTTTTACAGTGCAATGTCAGTCTATATACTGCCACCCCAAATGATCCAACTAATCACTGATAAAGAATTTCATTCTTTGTATTTGATCCTTTTAAACTGAAGAGTTTTGCAGACTGATCCCTACTTAGTCAACTACATAATTAAAACTTTAATTTTATAAATGCTACTAATTTAACTGAAAATTACTAGTGAAAGATTATCTTATTATTGCATGTAACTGTCACTTACATGCAAATCAGCCACCCATCTGGACCAACTTTACAATACATTTTCTTGTCAAGGCTCATTAATACACAGAACTCTGTGATAACTCTGTTTTATTGAAGCCATAATGAATGCTTAAATTCACAGCAAAAAG